ATTAGAAAGTTAAGAGTAATCAATTCTAAATTTTGTAAGTATATCAATTAAATTCCTTTTTTTGTTTAGAAGATAAGGTAGATATAATTCTAATTAATTTTCTTCGAACATGAATTAATATTAATTTGAAATGGAAATAAAACAAATAGTCTACAAAATTTTATGAAGAAAATTTTATATATAAGAATATTCGAATTACTGATTTCAAAGAAAACAAGCTTTAAATTGGCTCATTTTGAGTAAATAATTTTATCTTATTGTAGGCTAACTTAAATATTTGTTTGCCAAATACTGCTATGATATAAATAAGCAAAAAGAAATAATTTATTTATTCTCATGTATTTTATGTACCAAAGCTATTTATTTAGTTGAACATTTATCATAGTCTAAAATTTTCTTTTTATGAATCACAATTATAAATATTACTAATTATTTATAAAAAAATCTCTTTCCAAAATATTTCGTTTTTGTATAAAAGAGTTCAATAATTGAAAAATGTTTTTATCAAACAAATATTTTAACATTTTTGAATGTTTATTGATATCAATATAGTTTCTCTATCTTCAGAATCGTATTTTTAAGTTTTTAGAAATAAAAATATCTGTGAAATAAAGTTTTAACTTCCTAAAATTATTTACCTTATTAATCATGTAGATAGACAAAGATTTAAGGTATTTTTAGTATTATAACACATATTGAAATTTATATAATTGTCAATAAATATCATTATCAATTGTACATAGTGTGTGTTTGCCATGTTAAAATAATATTATTTTTTTATTATTAATTTTATTTTGGCTTTTTAATTGCATAAAATAAAAATATGTCTTTCTAAATAACTTATTTGTGACTAAGTTTTTTTTGGTAAAATATCGTTAAAGCCAAAGAATAAACAATATTATATCTTATAGAGCGTTTTGATTATATTAACAATAAAAAAATAGTTTTAAGTTTAATATCACATAATAAATCTAATATGATGTCATAAACAGCTTTCTGCTATTATGGAAGAAAAAATGGTGAAAAGGAAAATTTTTTAAATAAGTTAAATTTAAAAAATAAATGTATGAAAAATTAATATTCTTCAGAAGAAAAAAAGAGTAAGATATAGAGTATTTAGGTATAGTGTCATCTCGTAGAAAATAAATAAATACTAATTGTAAGAGAATAATTTTTGAAAGCTTTGTTTGAACAATGATTAAGAAAGTAAAATCAAAAACCACCTAATTGAATATCTTTTATAATTTTTGAATTTCTAATAAAAAATATAAGAAACAATTTTTGATAAATTCTAACCTCAATTGATAGGATATCTTTTTGTATTTTTCTGAATATTATTTATTTTAATCTAATCTCAATTTAGTAATCTTACCCAGTATTTATTCGCTTTTTTAATCAAATATCTCTAAATAAATGAATTTCAATTGTGAAATATTTTGGAGAAAATTGTTAGTTGAATTAGAATCAAATAATTTCTTATCAAATGGTATTATTATAAAAATGAAACAATTTTAAAAAAAATTTAATCATCTGTTTTTGTTTTTAAATCTTAGAATTTTTTTACTTCTTAAAATTAATGGTTTAAAATAATTTTTGCAGTGTTTAAGAAAAATTTAAAGAATTGGTGTTAGTTTTTGTGAACGAATATTGTTGCTAGACTTTTGAAATAAGCTTTAATAAATTGAAGATAGAAAATAAAAAATAAAATAAAAATCCAATTTTGTTTTCAACCCTAATTTGTTAAGCCATAAATATTTAAATATCTAAAAAAATTGTCAAATTTCATATTAGAATATTTTCCTTACCCAATCAAGTTGAAAGCAAAATAAATAAAGCATACACTTTATTTAAAATAAATTGTAAATTGATGTTTAACATTTTGCCTTCAAGCATTCTCTGTTCTAATTTATAAATCTTTTGAATATCATATTGTAAACTTTCTAATTAGAATATAAATAAAATTTGAAATATTTTACTTTTTTAACACCTAAAACAGCCGAATATGAATTATTGAATAGAAGAAACTACCAAAAGAATGAATTCAAACACGGTATATCTCTATAAGATATATTAATGTCCAAAGTTAGAGACTGATTAACTTACTAAACTAAAACTCAAAATAAATTAAATAGAAAAGAATGAATTTTAAATAAATAGTCTACAAATAAAATTTGATTAGAGGAAGTATTAGAAATAGAAAATTGCGTATATTAAGAGTTATGGTTGATTTGAGCAACAAAATACCAATATAGAATAATTTAGCTTTTAAACAAATAACTACTTGAATTTTAGATTAATACGAAATTAATTAATAATATTTTTATTGGATGACTTTATCAAAAAAGACATCAAATGAAAAATGAAAGAAAATAAATAAATACTAATTATTTATAAAATTTTATGTAACCCTAGTACTTTTAAGATAGATAATTAAGTTTTTAAATAATAATCAAGGATAAAATATTTTTTAATTTGTTTATTTGACAATAAAAAAGTAAGTAAAAGTAAAATAATTAACACAAATTCTTAATTTTTTCTACATTAATCTTATATTTTTTTGTTTTGTTCTTACAGATTCCAATATGAATGTAATTATGCCTTATTAGAGCACATCATTACATTAAAATATTTAAAAGCAATAAATTCTTAATCAAATTTAGAAAAAGATACTTACTTCTCTTGATTTTTTTTGATATAAACAAAAGATAGATTTGGGGGTAAAATTTCATTTAATTTCAAACTTAAATCAACTAATTTTGGATGTAAATTAACAAATAGTCTACAAAATCTAAAAAGAAAAAACTAAATAAAAAACACATATTTATATTTCTTTATTTTAATTTTTATAATGCCTATACATACCTTTATTTTAAATTTTATCTATTTTTATGATTAATGAACAGAAGTAACTATATAATATGTATCAATCAAATAATTATCAACAAAGAAATTTAATTTATTAACTCTCATTAAAATGTAAAAAATTATCATATTCTTAAAATATTCAAAATCTTATTAGATCTTTAAAAAATGATTAAAATATATTTGATATTTTACAAAATTAGCTTATTTTCTTATTGAATTTAAACGATTAAAACTAATATGTACTTAAAATACCTTTAAAAAAATTTATTTTTAAATCAACTGTAATATGAATTCGCTTTGTATTTGTTGGCCATAAGATAAATAAATTGTATTTAAAAAATAAACTTAAAATTTTAATATATCAATTATTTTTTTATTCAAAATATTTACTTTTCCTTACCCTATCTTTTCCAAAATAAAAACAAATATCAATCTTTTATTAATAACTAATTATAATTTGAGTTATTGACCAGATGGAATAATTCCCCCTATTAGATATTTTGATTATTTTTTGAAAGGTTTACACTAATCTTAAAATCAGGTTAATAAATATTTAGGAATATTGATTTCTGCTAATTTAATTGCTATCAATTAATTCATTTATTAGTTTTAAATTAATTTCTTTAAATACTGCAAAAAAAAGTGAGATAAATATAATTTATTAATAAAGAAAACAATAAAAACATTAAATACTTAAATCTTGAAAAAGAAAATGATTAAATAATTAATTATACTTTCACTTGCAATAACAATTATATTTGCTGGTTCAGGCACAGAAGTTTAGTGTACTACTAATGATTAATCTTTATGTGGTGGAGCTGGTGGTAGCTCTTGGACTGCAGGATCTACAACTGGCAAATCAAAAATCTCTGATTGTAGTACTGTCGGTAATACTTTGACAAATGTATATGATACTCTATGCTCATCTTGTTTACCTGGAGGTAATGCCTACGCTAATCTTTAAAAAACTGGTTGTCAAAGTGCTGTAGCTACTGCAGGATCACTTGTTCCATGTTAGAAAAGTACTTCTTGTAGTTCCTGTGGTACAATTTCACCAGCTTTTGCTTGGTCTATGCCAGCTAGTGATACAACTAATTGTATCATCACATCATGCTTAGCTGCACCTATGCCAACTGCTAATTTAATTGATAACTTTTGCAAATCATGTGGTGGTTCTAATCCATGGGCAAATTCTTATGGAACAGCATGTGTAAATTCTTCAGATTCATGTTCTAACACTAGACCTAGCGCTTTTTCTGATACAGACTGCTCTACTTGTAATGCTGGTGGAGCTAATTCAGCAAAAATATATGCTAATACTGATAAAAAAACTTGTGTAGCAAGCAGCTCCTCATGCACCTCTAGAGGTAATACTGTTTGGAATGATAGTGACTGTAGCTTATGTAATACAGGTAGTACAACTAAAGGATCTAACGTATATGCTAATACTGATGGATCATCTTGTGTAGCAAGTGGCGCCACATGTGGAAATAGTAGAGCTGCTAAAACTTGGAATGATAGTGACTGTAGCAAATGTAATACAGGCAGTGCTACTAAAGGAACTTAACTATACGCTAATACTGATGGTTCATCTTGTGCTGCAAGTTCAGCTACATGCTAGAGCTCAAGAACCTCTGGTTGGACAGATTCAGATTGTGTTATTTGTAATACAGGCACAGCCACTTCAACTTTGTTATTTGCTAAAGCAGATTAATCTTCCTGTTAAGCTACTGTAGCTTAGAAAGGTACTAATGTCCCATGCCAAAATTCTGGCTCTTGCACTAATTGTGGTACTTTCACTAATTTCTAATTTGATATACCATCATCTGATACCTAAAATTGTTATGTTAAATCTTGCTTAGGTGCTCCTATGCCTACAAGTGGTTTGAATGACTACTTCTGTGGTTCATGTAATCAAACTAACAAATTTGCAAATGCTTACGCAAACGCTTGCGTTAATTCAACTGCAAGTTGCACTAGAAGTTCTGGTTGGACTGACTCAGATTGTCAAGTATGTAATGCTAGTGGTGTTAATTCTGCAAAGCAATATGCTTCTGCAGATTAAAAATCCTGCGTTTCTACTAAACCATCATCATCATCCTAATCATCATCATCATCATCATCATCATCTATCGTTTTAGCTTTTTCAAGCTTAATAATAGCTTGTTTGCTTATTTGAAAAGTAAATAGCTATTTTTAAAAAACTATATTTAGAAAATAAACTTTTGAGATTGTTGGCTTATATATTTAATTATTTTATGTATGTATGCTGATTTGATTTTAAAAGTAATTCTTTTTAAAACCTTTCATCTATTTTATTATTAAAAATTTTAATAAAAAGAATTAAACAAGTAAATAAGTTAAATAATTAATAAATATCATAAAATTTTGATTCATTTAATGATAGACAGGTAGTAGATGGTCAATTTATAAAATTTAGTCTTTGGCTTAATTAATTTGATAAATTATTAAAAGTGTATTCTTGTTAAAAACAGGAAAATAAGCTAACAAATTCAGATCAATTTTTTTACCCTAAATTCTTCAATTATTTTTTTTAAATTTTCAAAATTTTAATAAAATAAACTTAATTTCTTATTTTTCATTAAAGAATCAACATTCAGATGTCAATCAAATTGAAATAGGAAATAATGCATGACTTGCACTTTTTGAGCAACTATTATTTGTAATAATAGCGCAAACAAGTAAGTCTTGATTTTTAATGGCCTGCGCTATGGCGCTTAATTTGTAAAATTGAAAGAATTTAAAATGAATTTGGTTCTTCATACCTAAAGACATCATTTAAGAGTTTTTCTTGATTAAAATTTTTTAGCAAAATATGAAAATACAGTTTTTAAAAATATAGATAAAAATTTTTTAAACAATTTGTGTTTTTCATTCACAATTAGATAGGAAAAAAGGCTAAAATTTGAATAATTTTATTAATTAAAAAAATACCATTAAAAATAAAATTATTTAGAGAAAGAGTATATATAATTCTTTTATTAATTCATTTTAAAAAATTAACTACTAAATTGAATGTATAGAAAAAGATTATTAAGAACTATTTATTCTGTATTTACACTAATATCCAACCTATATATCCTAACTCCAAACCCAGCAGCAACTCCTGTATATTCCTCATTGAGTTGGGGTTTTATCAATAAATGCATTTTATATTTATACACTTTCACATTAAAAAATAAAAAAATAGTGTTAAAAATATTAATATTACTTTGATAAATTTACTCAATTAATTCACTTTTTGTGAGTATTTTAATTCGTCAATTTAGATTAAGAATATTTCTCCATTTTAGTTAGCACAATAGAATAAATTGGACTCATGAAGTTTTACTTATTGTTGATATGAATTAAATAATTAATTAAAAAAATAAATGAAATTAAATAATAAGAATGTGAAAGAAAGGTGGCAACGCATTTATTCCAATAAAGGAGGAGTGATATTCCTTTGAATCATTACAAAATAAAATAACTTAAATAAGAGAATTTTTTGGCGAAATAATAATTTTTTTTCTTTCTTATATTAGAGCGTAGACGGTATACCTTAATTTATATTAAATTTCAACAAACCATTTAAACCATTTGAGTTTAAAAACCTCAAATAGTCCAAGGGAATATATTTTTTTTAAAGGAAGACATCTAATTAATGAAAAAAGATCTCATATCAAATCTTAATTTTTTCATGAATTATCTAACTAAATATTAAATATAAAATATTTAATTAATTATACAATTTTACTCTACTGTTTTTAATTTTAATAATAGTTATTCAAAAATAATTAATTTAAATTTGAGTAAATTTTAATGACCTAACCAAACCATAGTCAGTTAAAGGAAAATGAATGCTTATGCTTATCTATTAAGATGAAATAGCCAGAATTTTTATGTTGAATGATAATATAAATTCGTTTTCTGTAATCCATTAATATTGATAAAATTAAGAATGTTATTTTTAGAAAACATTCAATAAAATAACAAAGATTTAAAATTTATATGTATTAAAATAATCCTTTTTCCAGGCATTTTGTCAATTTAAGAGTAAAAATCCATTTTTTAATTTCTGGTCTAAGTAATTTTAAAAAAAATCAGTACAAATTTATTACTTTTTTCTAGCTACAACAAATGATAATATCAATACATTTACATACATACATCCACTCTCTTTATATATTTAAACTATATAAAGTAATTATATTGATATTCTTTTTAATATTATTCTTCTTGTAATATATTTATTAACTAATTTATTGATTTAGTCAAAACAAAATATTTTTAAGTAATTTATTTTAATTTCTATTTAATAAGCAAGTATGAATGAATTATGTAGTTTAGAATGTAAAAACTAGTTTCTTGCTTTTTGATTTGTTGTTTAATTTATTAATTTGTTTTCAAATATATTCTAATTGTATTAAAAAAAATATTTTGGTTAATTAATTTAAAATGGTAAATTAAATTAAGGAAAATAGTAATAAATATTGAATCAGTTTTTGAAAAATACACTAATTTTATAAAGTCTTAAATTCAACTGAAAAGGATAAACTAGCTTAACCTTAAATTTTTTTTTTATCTAATTTAAAAAGAAAATCTATCAAAAGATTCATAAAAAACTTTAATCTCAAAACCCTACATAAGCTCAACTACATACTCACTCATTCACTGTACTTTTCTCCCATAAAATTAGAAAAAAATATTAAAATTTATTTATTTGTGATTAATTCATACATCATACATGCATGAGTGCTTAGCAGATTCAGAAAAATCAAATTTTTATAAAATATTTAAAAGTTATCAAGATATTGAACAATCAAATTTATTTTTAATAATAAATGTTAAGCTATTAAAATTAAATGATTATTAAAAATTAAAATACCTAAAACTAAAAATCAGTATGATTTACTGTAAAAATGAATTGGTCATAAAAGGATTGGATAATCTCTTCTAGATAACATATTAGCTAAGTCAATATTTCCTCATAAAAATTTTGCCTACATTAATACTAAATATTTGCTTATTTTTATGAATAATTAATTAGTTTATGTTCTCAAAAAATGAAACCATTAAAAGCTGAAAACAAACTTTAAAATAAAATTTTTTAAGATAAAAAGATAAGTAATTAAAAAATTAGGTTTTGAAATACAGAAGATATCTGAAAAGTTGTGGCTTATAGATTTCATATTTTAATTATAAGCAGAATAATCATTTTTTCTTCAATCGAACAATATGTAATGTAAACTTAAATTAAAATATTTAGATTAAATGAAGGAAATCTCTATATTTTTAGCAATCTTTTGAAAATGCTTTTTAAAAATACTAAAATTTACAGGGAGATAAAAAGGACTTAGTATACTAATTGAGTAGATAAAAACTTAGAAGCTTAGAATAAGAAAAAGGAATTATCAACCGATATTTATAGTATGAGATAGGCTTCCTTTTTTTCTGTAGCTAGTACAGAATTACAATAGTATAATAAAGTAATTATAGTATGTTGCAATAAATTTAATTCCTCTATTAAATTATAAAATTAAAAGTTAAGAATATAGTATTATATATTTAAAATAAGTTATATTAAATTTCAAAAAATTAAATATCAAAAGTTGTAGGAAAAAATCTTTTTGATCTGTCATACAAAAAAAAAGTTATTATGTCTGATATATCATTTTTAAGGAGATATATATATTATATAATTTATTAATAAAAAAACTGATTTTTCTACTTACTATCATAAACCAAATTGTAAATATCAGACAGATCTAAGTAAATATTACCTTTTCCTACAAAGAATTCGATAGGTAAAATTCATATAGATAATTAAATAATTAATTAATTAATTTCCAATATAAATAAATTTAATCTATTAATAATAGATTTTAATTTTTAATTTAAAATATCATTTGTGTTTGTTATTATAAAATCTGTAAATAAATTTTAATTTTATATGATATAAAGCAAAATATTTATCTACATTAGCTTTCAGCAGTAAATTATTTCCAAATTGTATATCTTTTAATTTAGATTAAGAAAATTATTCAAAAAAAACCATTAAAAAATACAAAATATTCTTAATAGATATTAAAAAGGAGTAAAGAAAAAAATATTATAAATTTTGTTAACTTTGAAAGTGATGCAAAAACAAATAAACTCAGAATAAATACCTAATATTTTATTTAAATATTATTTATTAAATTGAATGAGGTTATTTAATAGTTGCTTATTTATTTAACTCTATAATTCGATTAAAGATAAATTCTATAAATTCAATTAATAAGATTTTATATGTGTCAAAAATATTTCTGTATGTTGCTTGTTACTAATTATGAACACTGATAATATAGTAAATAAACACTTTATTTTTTATATTTTTTAAAACAAAGAGTAATTACTCTAAAAACTCATTAATTAACATTAGACTTATATTAACACTAATTTTAGAGTTGAAGCTAAGTCTATGAGTGAATTGCATAAACTGAAATCTAGGTAACCTAATATATGAAAATTTATCTTATACTTTGCTTCATTCAACTAAAATTCAATAGAATAAATATAAAATAATTTTCAATTAATATCAAAAAATTAACAAAATCTATTATTTTTTTTGTTTAAAAATTAAAATATAACATATTATTTCAGCTTTAATCTATTATAATAAATATATTTGATAATTTAATTATGTATAATAATAATTGTAGGTTTTAATTAAAGATTATTTATTCTCTATATACTAAATTTCTTCTATGCGCAATGATAAATATTATCTTAATAATGGATTACTTATCATGAAGATTTTAGCTTTATTTACATAACAAGACAATTGGATTAAAAGATTTATATAAATCTTATTCTAAATCTATTTAAAATATAAATTCAAATATTGATTTGATAAAAAAAGTAGTTCGTTATTGTGCTATTTCAAACATTCAAGAGATCAAAAAAAGAAGTAGAACAAACAGATAATCAACTTTTATTAGATATAATCCTATCTACTTAAAAAATGAGGAAAATTAAAAAATTGAACTAAAAATTAATTAAGAAAATCAAATTTTTATTGATAAATTCAATTATCCAATCTTAATAGGAAAACATAAAGTCTCTAAATTTTCAAATTTGCTATTTTCGAAATGGTAAATAGAATATAGATAAAGATTATTATCATTTATATTTTGT